TTTTGAAGTCAAGGCACTTTCAAAAGATAGAAGTTGGATTAATTTATCAGCATTTATAATCAAGTGTACTTTAGCAGCTGTTCCTTCCTGAACAATCAAAAAACTGAAAACATAATAGCGTACAGTATCCAGACTCTCTGTGTATTTTTCATTTTTGTGTGGCTTATTTATTTATCTATTATTTATTTATTTTACTTTTATTTATTTTTCTCTGAGACAGGGTTTCTCTTTGGAAATCTGCCTGCCTCTGCCTCTGAAGCAATTCCTACCGGCGTGCGCTATTTACCACTATGGGTTTCCTTTTCTCTCTCAATCTTAATGTATATTTTTAAACACACTGTAAACCTTTATAGGTTTTGTTCATCCAAGTCTGATTTTACTGTAAATCTTTATGTTTTTCTGGCCACGTTAAAACCGCGGCTGTTTTAAACTGACGTTTTTTTCCAAGATGGTGGCTTAAGCGTGACTCCAGCTGCCGGCTTGGAGATGTGGTCACTCCCACTTCCAGCTGTACCTACACACCTTTTAATTGTTAGCATAGCCTCTCAAAAGAACCTTGCTGGTTTTTTTTTTTAATGCTGAGTCAGGAAGACCCCTTAAGACAGCTGCATGAATCTCTGCTTGCCGCTAGCAAAACAGAGCCCACCTGAGAAAAATGCTGCTACCAAAAATCTGTGCTTCTCTCCATTCTTATGTTTCTAAAATTCCTTTAAAGCTTTTGTCATTCTACCTGGAAATTTATCATCCCACTCCTGATCACCATTTTGTAAAGGGAAGCTTTTTCCTTGAGAGAAGCCTTCCCCCCAGCCTGCTTCCAGAGCCACATCAGTCCCAAATAAACACACAGGAGGCTATATTAATTATGAAGCTGTTGGCCTTGCTTGTTTCTTACTGGCTAGCTCTGACTTAATCTAAGTATGTCTCTTACCGGAGAAGTTTCCGGGCTTCCTACCCCATGGCGTTACATCTCGACTCTCTGTGTTTCTCCTACCTAGAGTCCTTCTGGACTCCTAGTCCCTCCTATCTTGGTTCCCTATTGGCTCAACAGTGCTTTATTGATATAATCACAGGACCTCCCACATCAAGCCAGTGCTCTTAACCTCTGAGCCATGTCTTCAGACTGTAGACATGGTTCTTATACCTATCTGAAACTGAGCATTGCCCTAAGTCCTGCTTACATTCTGTTAAAGATGTTTGTTTCAGACACAGTACCTTAAGACTGAGATGTAAAAATAGAGTAGGGGAAATGTAACCATCCTGACAGGAATGAAAATACTCTATGAGAGACTCTAACCAGCAGTTAAGAGTACACACTGCTCATCCAGAGGACCTCATCTGCTGCTGCCCCAAAGAAGCCTTATCTACATTGTATTGCCTGTGGACAATTACAGTTCGATATGAATGAAGTGTTTCCTCTAAAGGCTCAAGAGCAGAAGGCTTGGCTTCTACCTTATGGATACAAGAACTGAAGGTCACTTGATTATAAGGACTCTGACCTAATCGACTGATTAATCCCTTGATGGATTCATGATTGATGGCACTACTGGGAGGTGATGGAAACTTTCTGAGATGGAACCTTATTTGAAATAGCAGTGTGTTGTTGGGGGCTATGTCTGTCTCTCAGTTTCCTGTCTGCCATAAAGTGAGCTGCCTAGCTCCACCATGTGATCCCCACCATGGTGTTCTACCTCAGCATAGCCTAAATGATGAAAGCAAACGACCATTCACTGAAATTTTTGAAATGGGGAGTCTAAATGGAAAGGTTTCAGGTCTGGGCTCAAGCACAACACTGAGAAAGATGGTCCTTTTGGGTAAAAGTGTATTAGAAGAGTTGGTAAAGACAGACAGCATGGCAGAGGGAAGTTCGGGCCCATGAGGCATAGTGAAGTTTCTCTATTTGTCTCAGAAGAAACCGGAGGCTTCATATTGAGATCAGGCTGTCTCTAGTTCTCCGGTGGTGACCGGGGGATGAGAGGGAGTCTTGTACTAGCCGGAAGGACTCCGAGGAGACTCTAAGGAGTGAGGGAAGAATGAAGGAGGGGCTCATCTAGGGGACAGGCAACCACTGTATGGGTGGCCTTGTGAAGTCCCAGAGAAGTCCCTTAGGGAAGTGACAATGCTGCCTGCTGTCCTGGAATCTGGGCACCTGGGTAATCCGTCAGGAGTTCAGAGAGTCACAGTAGAAGGGCTGCCATTTTCCCCGTGGTGGCAATAAGAACCAGGCTGCTACGTGCACATGGCACAGTGAGCCTGTAGCCCTAAACTTAGCTAAATTGTCCTGTGAGTTATTTCTTTTAATCATGATGAAAAATTAATGCAGTGGCCTAACGTACATGTCAAATACAACCAGAAGACAAGACTGCCAAGGCTTTGTGACAACACCTGCGAAATCTGCCTTAAAGTAAGGAAACAGTTTTCCCACTAATGGCAACTGACATCATTCCCTGGGCTGAGCTTGTTAATACGCTGCAATGCACTTTGCTCATGATCACACCAGAGTGAGAATGGGAGCCGGGGAGATGGGCTAGAGAGAAAAATGTAGATCCACATAAAGGTGTGGAAGGAAAACGTGCCTGGCAGGATTTCAGTTGGGGGGTGGTGATTGCTAGAACTTCTACAAGGCTGTCCAGCGAAGACAAATGACAGGCACAAAGAACCTGTACTGTCTCAGCTCCCATCTATAACCAGATAACAGGCAAAAATGGTATATTATTCCTTCAGCTTCACATCTAATATGCCAAGTTCCAAGAAACACAAGTTGCCACAACAACCCACTCCCCTGTAGGCGTCAGAATTAGTTGAAAGTGTGCATGGAAATAAGTGGTGGCCTTTGCTCAAAGGTATGTGGCTTGGGAAGCTGTGAGCGCTGCCACTTCCCAGGCACAGCTTTAAAATCTACTGGAGATTTCATGGGGAAGCAGCTGCCAGTTTCACCTGTATGGGGCCTCAATCCCATCTGCTGAGCCTTCCCTATTGTTCCAGGGCTACAGTGTGTACCAGAAATTCTCCCAGGACCTGGTGCCTCCTGTGGCTTGGCCACCCCAGCTTAACCAGCTCTGGTTCTGGAGCGAGCATCCAACTGATCTTATGGCTGTGGAAGAATGACTGGTAGGGTGACTTGGGGGATGATGGCCAGGGAGTGAGAAGAGAAAGGAGACAGGAAGAGGTCTTGTAAAAGCTGATGGCTCTTGGGCAAGCAGGTTTATTAAGTAAAGAATCTTATATACCTTTTGTGTAAGCCAAAAGGAAACAGTCAACATAAAGCCATTATGCAATGGGATGAAGCCAGCAGGAAGCTTATCAAGAAATGTTACACAATGGGAATACAGGCTACCTCAAAAGCAGCACAGATGAAGCCCACAGCAGCCTTGGAGATGACAACCATAGCCCCTTAAGGTGGGAAGAGTTGGGTTCTCAGGATCCAAGGCTGCAGTTCCCCCAAAGTCCTGGCCCTAGACCCTTATTGGCTCTCCCAAGCACATTCCTGGTTTTAGAGAAGGAACTTCTCCATACATCAGGGCCTCATAGGAAAGGTACCAAGGCCCTGGCCCTAGGCTATAACTGGCTCTGTCAAGCATGTTCCCCTGCTTTAGAGAAGGAGTCATGTTCCTTCATTCATCAGGGCTTAGGGAAAGCCTCAGGTTGGCACTCAACAGCTATCCCTAAATTTTCAGGGCAAGGTGTTGATATTTGACCATTCTCATCCCCCCAAATGTCAGTTTCTCATGGTTTAGTCTAGACTTTCAGTAAAAGGAGAGAAAGGAAGGAAACAGACGCCCCCAAAGTATCTATTGCTTGCACTATGAAGCAAAATATGACCTTGTGAGCTGCAATAATAGCTGATGTGGGAAGATGTCTGTGGATGCAATAGTGGTATGAATGTTATGGGGTAACCCACTGCTTTCTAATTGGATTCAAGGTCTGCTCCACAGGAGGAAATATATGCCTGGTACTGTAAATCTGGTCAAGGGCCCTTGGCTGGGGAACATGTCGGCCCCAGAGGTCTACCATTATTTTTCTAAAAGTGTCTCTATACTCACACATCAGGGCAGCTCTCAGACTACATCAAATAAGTTTATCTGTGCAGTGGATGGTAGCTAACGAGGAAACTCACAAGTGGATGGGGTACACAGCATAGGTGTTTAGGGAGTGCCCAGCCACAGATGGGCTTTCTGTAGCACATCCACTCCCCACAAGGCCAGGGACCACTGTGGAAGAAGGGATAGAAAAACTGGTGACCTACTGAGAAAGCTCCTGGTCCCATCTCAAAAAACAAAAACAAACAAAAGATGACTAGAGAGATGGGTACTGGCCACTAACTTTGATGAGCTGAGTTCAATCCTTGAGACCCACATATTGGAAGTAGAGAACCAACTTCCTCAAGCTGTCCTCTGACCTCTACACATAAGCCTTCATGGCATATACATGCCCCCACACATACATATGCAAATAAATGAAAAAACAAAAAGCAATATGTTTTCTAGCATATTAATTTCTCAATTTATTTGAGCACCTGAAACACACATGTATGCGGGCACGTGTGTGCTCGCGCACACACACACACACACACACACACACACACACACACACACACGGGGTGGGGGAGAGAGAGAGAGAGAGAGAGAGAGAGAGAGAGAGAGAGAGAGAGAGAGAGAGAGAGAGGAGACTTTTTCAAAGGGAAATTTGGATTCAGGGACTACAGAGAGATGACATAGAGATATGATGGGAAACCATGCTGTGTCTAAAAACCAAGCAATGCTGGAGGCTCCCTTGATAGTAGCTAGAAGAGAGATGCAAATAGTTCCCATCTAGAACCTTCAGAGGGAGCAAGGCTTTATTAATACTTTAACCTTAGCCTTCTGGCCTCTGGGACTATGACAGTGAAGTTTCTGTTGCTTTAAACCACCTAACTTGTACTTCTATATTATAATCCCAGAAAGCTAACAGAGCCTTCTTCCAGTGAAGACAAACTATAGTGATATAGATACAATAGCACAGGCTGAGGAAAAAATGAACAACAGTTTAATCTCTAGGAATTCAGACAACAGATGTGTTGAATGAACTGTATTCCCTAATATGGTCAGAAAGAGGTCTGTTCACATACAATAAACCTAGCTTGGTAACAACAGTACATGCTTATGCACACGTGCACTCCACATACCATCCCGTTTCTACGCAATCTTTTTTCTGCAGTCTGCAGTAGAGCAGATGCTGTGCTTGGTAGCTTTGGAGTCTGTTCAGTTTTCAGGACCATGCATTGTCCTAGGGATACAGATGATGCTGAGACTCTCCCAGGGAGTGCTTCTTTTGAAAGTCTGGAAGGGGATGGAGAGTTCCTGCAGCCCTGTATTTCAGAGGCTGTTCTCAAAAGTCAGTGAGCCAGGCTTTCCCCGGGGATTCAGCAGCTGGACAGGAATGGGGATAGTTGCCGCTTCTGGAGGAGGAGAACCTCGTGCAGAACAGTGTGGAATTCACCAGAAGTTCTTTATGTCAAACGCTTGTCAGGATCCAGCTTTATAAATAAGGCTAAATCAACAAAACAGTAGATTATTGTAAGTTGACTGTGTTCTATTTGATGAGACCAAGCAGGAAGACACTAGAAGGGGAGTTCTTGTATTACTATCTTTCTACTCTCACTTCTCAGAAGACTTAAGAACTAACTTTTGGCTGGGGGTGGTGGTGCACACATTTAATACCAGCACATGGGACAGTGGCAGAGGCAGATGGATTTCTGTGATGTCAAGGCCAGCCTGGTCTACAGAGTGAGTTCTATGCAACCAGACCCTGTCTCAAAAATAATTAAATCAACTTTTGACTGTCAAAGTCCTTGCCTTTCCTCACCTCTACCAGGTCCTCTACTACTTCATGACTCATTAACAGTTCTATCAAGAGGTAGCCTGGGAAATGAGAAATGCATTTACAACCGAGCCAACTGACATGGAAGGTTTAGTGAGCGTGCTGATAAGCTTTAACTGTTAACCTGAAAGCCTTGGTACCCGAGAAGGGTGTCTCAATTGAGGGATTGCCCACATCAGATTGGTCTGTGGGAGCAGGTAGTTCTGGGATATCTAAGGCAGCTAGGCATGAGCCTGCTTACTGAAGCAGTGAACCTCCATGGTTTCTGCCTTAAGTTCTTGCCCTGACTTCCTCAATGGTGGACTATGACCTGAAGTGTAAGCTAAAATAAACTTTTTCTTTCTCTAAACTGCATTTGGTCAGGGTATTTTATCATAGCAACAGAAGCAATACAAAAGAGAAAGCCTTGGAACGGAGCTGCAAACTGACTGTGGATTCAGACTATTAATGCCACCCTCTGCTCCCTTAGCCATCATTCTTGTAAGAAGCTGATGCTTAGGGGGAAGTGGATTTCTTAGACAAGTTATGAAAAGCATTACTCATAAGGGGAAAAAACATCAACTAAACATTAACATTAAAAACTCCTGTCCATAAAGAGATGTTTTAAAGTAAATGAAACCATCTTACACACTGAAAGATGTATGGAGTTTCTATCTATCCAATATAGATTTAACTAAAAGTAACTAAAGAATGCCTGTAAGTTGGTAGAAACAAGAAAAAAGAAAGAAAAGATGAACCAACAGGAATTTCACAGAATGGGAAACAAATACAGTCAGTGAACATGAAGAGATATTCAACTCTATAGGTTACCTGAGAAATGCTAATATAAATAAAAGTAAGATCCCATTTTAGCCAGGCATGGGTGACACAGAACTTTAATCCTAGCATTTGGGAAGCAGAGGTAGGTAGATCTCTGAGTTTGAGGCCAGCCTGGTCTACAGAATAAGACCTTGTCTTAAAAAGAAAAAAAAGATTATATTTAAAACTCTTTTATCGGTAAAAATTGAGAAATCTGACAGTCAGTTGCTAGAGAAAGCAGGGATCAAAAGAATGTCATGCTTGCAGGCAGCTTTTGAGGACAAGGTGGGCTCCTGTGTAAACATCCTATAAGCAGAACTACTTCTAAGCAGATGCCAAGCTCCTGCCACACAGAGGACACAAGCAAGAGCAGGTACCCAGAAAAAGGTCACATGTCACAATCACTTTCTTATAGGGTTAAAAAAAACAAACAACTAAAGAATACACCACTTAGATGTATGCTATTCTTTTCTTTTTTGAGCGAGAATCTTACTATATATGTTATGCTAGCCTCAGCCTCCCTAACACAGGGATCATGGGCATGAACCATTTCACTCCAACCATTTTTTTTTGGTTGCCCTGGAACTTACTCTTTAGACAAGACTGACCTCAAACTCACGGAGATCTGTCTGCCTGTGTCCCCTGAGTGCTGGGGCTAAACGTGTGTGCCCCCATGCCTGGCATACTCAACCATTCTTAAGGACATTTAAAAAATAAAAGTAGAAGCTACAAAATAATCCGTTACTAAATTCAAGATCAGAGTTATCATTAAGCAGAAAGAAAAGATGAGAACAGCAGCTATGTAGAAATAAAATATGATAAAGAATCTGGTTCCTATTTGGTGGTAGGCACTAGGACATTATTTCTTATTAAGTTTAGTAGATGAATAAATAAAAGATGAACAGATATATCAATGAGGATCATGTCATAACTCAAGAATTATGATTAGTATAAACATGTACATCTGGGGTACACTAAGTAAAAACTGAAAATGTAACTAGTGCTGCATGTGAAGCTGAGGCTTCCAGGGCCCTGGCCTGCAAAGTCCTTGTTGGACGCATTGCTCAAAGCACAAACAGGGGACATCTCTAGGTGACATTTCTGGCAAGCTGCCTATAGAGATCTCAGCAGGAAGGAAGCTGTGTCTCTAAGTCAGCAGAAATAAGTTGTTCTTTCTTTTCTCACCATAACTAAGCGTACATGTTTATAACCATTATTGAATTATTTTTTTCTTAAATTGGGCTTCTTTTAAGTTTTGGAGCTTACAAAATTCAGCTCCCTCCCTGGTAATCATTTCCCATTTCTTCACTCTCAGGATGTACGAAGGGCCTATAGTGAACTTCCCACCCAGTTCCTTTCCAGAACAGTCACCTTTCAAGACCTGGTCTATGTGATAATCTGCAGACAGTCGCCTTTCCTCCTATTTCATATTTTCAAGCTTATAGAAAAATTGTGAGATTGGTACAATGGTGTATCTCTCTCTAGACTATTAGAGAATAACCTAGTGATGTGTGTATAAAATGATTTCTCAAAAGTTCTTACACTGTTTGAAAGAACTACAGATTGGGAAAACACGTGTGTCCGTGACTGTGTCAGAGTGAGCCTGCTCCCATCCCTGCTGCCATGCTCAAGGGACACCTTCCTTGGGCTTTGACATCCTGTGGTGGGCTACTCCCTTGTGCATATACCTCCTTATCCTGTCCAGACTCTGACACTGCCGCTGCTCTTCCCTGGTGTGTGTATGTAGGTCTCCATGTCCCTGGGCTTGCCACATCTAAGTCCACATAATGGCTCTCACAATAAATACAGGGAGGGAGACAAGTGAAGGGGAGGGACGGGAAGAAATGGAAGGACTTTGGCTTTTCATTCTAAGCCTGTGATAACAGCTTAGATTTCTGCCCTGCCCTCTGCAGGTCTCACCCAGTATATGCTAATGAGCTTGCTTCACATCAAAGACTTTCCTCACTTTTGCCTATGGTACTAAAACAGTCTACAGTATTTTTATGGCATAAATTAGAGAAGAACTGTAGTTCTTTAGCCAGTTTTCCACTGAAGTGAGTCAATGCTTTGTTCATTCTTTTGCCACTGCAAGTAAGGGATACACCAGGACTTGAACCATAGCAACCTCCTATGTAACCTATGAGATATAGTCTTGGAATTGGGTCAAATGTTATCTCACTTCCAATTGTAATGGATATTGGCAAATAGGTCCTTCACTGACAATATTTAAGAATGCCTCTAGCCATGGGGCTGGGTATGTAGCTTAGTGACAAGAGTACTTGCCTGGTGTGTACGAAGCCTTGGGGTTTGATCCAGCACCACCCCACCCCCAAACAAATACAAACCAAAACCCCAACCAACCTAAGCCAGGTGTGGCAGGTTGATTCAAGCCTGTAACTCTAACACTCAGCAAGAAGAGGCAGGAGGGTCAGGAGTTCAGGGTTACTCTTTGCTGCATAGCAGTTTCAAGGCTACCCCAGGCTACATGAAACTTTGCCTCGACAACTCATACTAAAATCCAACTCCAAAACATTAAACTTGTTTTGTGCATTATGAAAATGTAACCCTAACCCAGGCCAACCTCCCAGAGACGTGCACGTCTCACCTGTTGCCTCTGTGTGTAAAGTCTTCTCATCAACACTCTGAACAGCACAGGAAACAAAAAGTTTCCTTCCTTCAGTCTTAGTAATTTGGCAGTTTATCACCACAACAGAACAAAGGGGGATAGGTCTGCAGAAGGGAGAAAAAAACCCCATTTTTTTGTTATTAAATCTATGTAATACTGAAAGACCATCAGGCTTACGACAGGGAGGATACATACCCGACGCTAGTGAGTGCTGACTGTCTTAGATGGAACGTATCTTAAGGGCTCTGACACCACAGTCTCTCTTGTCCTCCCTGCTTCCTTTCTCCTACACACTCCTGCCTGCATATGGGCATATGGGCCCAGACTGTCCTTCAAAGAGCTCCCTAGGGATTCCAGCTCTGTCTTGGTAGACTTTCCAGTTTGGAGATCCAGGGTCTAGTCTAATGCTAGTAGCAGAAAGAAGTGAAAACAGGGCTGTGGGGTAGTCCTTGTCAGTGTTTCTGCTATTCTCAATTTTTCTTGGGCCAGTTTGATGGCTCAGTAGGTAAAGACTTTTGCAGCCAAGCCTGATAGCCTGAGTTCAATCCCTGGGACCTGCATAGTGGCAGAAGCCCTGCAAGTTGATCTCTGACCTCCACATGCACCCCACTCTAGACATAATAAATACATACATACAATTAAAACTTGTCCTATCTGCTTCTTTTTAGAGTACTTGCCTGGCAACAGCCTTATTATCCTAAGCTAGTGCTATAATGATATGAAAGGTCCCACAGCTGAGCTGCCCAATGTGGTAGTCACATGTAGTTACTGCTCACTTGGAACGTGGCCAGCATAAATGGGAAATTGAATGCTACAATTCATTTCATTCTAATTAACTTACATTTAAATTTAAATAGCTACATGTGACTACTGGCTAGTCATTTGGGGAATCCTGGAGATAGAGTACCGCAATGGAAAAGAACTTTCTTTGAAGGTCAGAGTTCTGTTGGTTGATGTAAAAGATAGAACATGGAGATGTCCTCTGTTCCTGCAGCACTACCATGTGGATGAAGGGACTCTGAGGCATAAGAAAGTTGTCACTGTGATTGTCCTCTGGCCCAGGCTTCCCTATCATCACCCTTGGACATTCCATTCCATTATCTTTCCTGACCCTGCTGATGGAGACACCAGGCTTCTATTAGTGTCTACTCAAAATTTTCCAATGTCCTGGAGACATCTGGTGTCCAGCATCTCTTTTTCTTTTTTAAAATTCCTTTTGAAGATCTTAAAATTGTGCTTATCTGTGTGATAGTATGTGCAGGTAAGTGCAGTTTCCCAAAGAGGCCACAAGAGGATACTAGATCCCCTGGGACCTGGAATTACAGGTAGTCATGAACTACCCAATGTGGGTGCTGGGAACTGAACTCAGATCCTCGGCAACAGCAGTAAGGGCTCTTAACCTCTGACCCATCTGCCCAGTCTCCCTTTAAAACTTCTATTTATTTGTTTATCTACTATTTTTTTTTGTTTATCTACTATTTTGTGTGTGTGTAAATGTGTAAGGGCAGATATGTATGTTTCATGGAGAATGATTGCAGGGAGGTTAGAGGACAACAATTGGGAGTTGTTTCTCCCCTCCTGTCTTGCTAAGGTAGGATTATTCCAGGGCAGTTGGCCTGTGCACAGCTGGGTGAGTCTGTCTCTGCCTCCTGTCTTAATGGAGCAGTTCTGGAATTATAGATTCCTGCCATGCCCAGCTTGGTTATTTTGAAGCTGTTCTTTCTGTACCTACTACTACTTTTTTGGGGGATACAAACTGATTTTTGCTGACCTAAGTTTTCACCTGGTTGGCCTTTTCCCCATGCATTTCCTTTCTTTAAAACTGTTCTGTGTCAGGCTAGGCACGGTGGCACACAGCTTTGATCTCAGCCCTGAGGAAGCAGAGGCTGGAAGATCTTTGTGAGTTCAAGGCCAGCCTGGTCTATATATGGTGTTCTAGGCTATCCAGGGCTACTCCAGGGAGATCTTGTCTCAAAAACAAACTTTTTTCTCTATCAGTTTTAAATGTTTCACACATTTCTCAGCTTTTTACATTAAACTCAATCTTACAACCTGTCTTTGGACTGATGGTCTGCTCAGTCAGTGTGCTGACTGACTTCTGCACTATCTTACTTTGCTTTCTATTTACATTCTCTGAAAATTTTTCCTGTTTTAAAAATTGAGTTTTTCTCTTTATGCTTTCCTACTGCTTTGTGTATTAATTGTCACTCATTTTAATCCCCTCGCTACTGGGAAATACAAGGAATTGCTTGCCTTCTTCCCAACTCTGGCATTGAGTGTTTCAGCTCCTTGCTGTTCTCCAGGATGCAGGCATTAGCCTTGCTGCTGACAGCCATGTTCTGCACATGCACCGATCATTTGCTCACCACTTCTTCCGTCACCCTGCCTCTGGTCATTCAGTCACTGCTTTGCTCCCTCCGAGGCAGTCTTCTATATGTCCCATGGGCATGGCCCTATTTTCCCATAACCGGTCTCAATTGTTGTCTCAATGAAAACAACTTGACTTTGCCCTCTGACAGCCCTTTGGCAGGCTGGAGCATGGTTCCAGGTGGGCCTGGCCTCTGGGCCTCTTCTGCTGCTGTGGAGGTTTATTGCTAGGGTAATGGCACCCTCTTGCTTCTGAAGCAGGTCTCTTACGATGCTCTTTTGTGTCTGGTGCTTTTAAGAGCTCTATAACCTCTCTAGGATAGCTGTGTAGACTTGCTGCCATGTATCCTGACTAATGTTTACTGTATCTTCTGTGGGTTTGTGCTGTTCTTTCATGTTAGATCAGAATATACTCACCTAACATTTTAAAACCATTTTCCCTCTGCTTTGGGGTTTTTATTAGAGCTTTCATCTGTTCCCCTTTATATCTCAGCTCCTTTTCTCTCTGGATTCAAAGCATCTCTTTCCATCCTTCCCTGTTCTTAAAATGATTCCAAGCCACCATTCAACATATTAAATTGCCAGCTCTGAATACATCAGTAGTCCCAACACCCTTCTAGAAAAAGTGTTCTCATGTCTTACTGGATGAGCCATCCTGGGGGTCAGAGAGTAGCCAGTGCTGTATCGAACTGAATCCATGTCAACCTGACTGGAATTTTGCCTCTCCTTTGCATTGAAGTTTGGTATATCTGCCATTGGTTTAACTGCAGTGGGCACGTTAATAAAACTGTGGGATATACTTGAATGTCTCATTGAAATAATGGAGTGGGTGAGTAATGCTGACCACCATGGAACATACAGGCCCGTTGAACAGAATATGGAATAAATCTTAACAAAGGAGGAACTATCTTGTAATGATTTGAGGTTTCACTGGGCTGTGAGATTATAAAAATGATGACATTATAATTAATTTTCAGTGAAAATCACAGGGCAGGACTTAATTGTACATTTCAGAGGAGTAAGCTTCCTGAGTGTGAAACCACGTTGATCTGAACTTCTGAAAGGTAGAGAAAGAACAAAATGTAACCTAAACTCTTAGGGGACAACAGCCATATAGCTAGGAATGTCTCTACCCATTCTTCTTTTCCTTTTAAAGAGCAGGCGCAGGCGGGCGTTGGTGATGCACGCCTTTAAATCCTGGCACTCAGGAGGCAGAGGCAGGCAGATCTCTGAGTTTGAGGCCAGCCTGGTCTACTGAGTGAGTTCCAAGACAGCCAGGACTACACAGAGAAAGCCTGTGCATCTGATTATCTCATAAGGATATCTAAAGTCTTTGCGGACCTAAATTTGTTGCTGTCTCTCCAGCCCAATACTCACTCTTATGTATGCATGTATGCATGTATGTATGTATGTATTTGATGCAGAATCTCCTCATGTTGAAGGGAGACTGTCCTTGAGTATTTCTTTTCTGCCACACAGAACCAGGAAGTCCAGTGGAGAGCCTCCTGTCTGATAGGTCACGAAGCGGCTATAGGCTCAGATACTGCTCCCATCAACAACACCAGTTTTGAGCTGTTTTGTTCATCTCAATGTATTTAGAGACAACGAAACAGTTCAAACAGATTGGCTGGCTCGAAATTGAGATGGCTAACGTGAAGGTTTGCTTCTTAAAAGTAAAAAGGCTGCAATCCCAGTGACATATTTTTTTAAGAATTAAAAAGGAAATTCTGTGACTTGTGTAGAAACGGAAGCAATCCCATTAGAGCAATCTTGAGAAAGAAGAAAGCTGGAGTATAATATTTCTTGATCTCAGAATACATTACAAGGCCAGAGTAATTAAAACACAGTACTGGCATAAAGATAGACAGAAATCAATGGAACAGAACAAACCCACTAACATAGTCTTCTTCTGTTCCTGTGTGGTGTGCATATTTGAGTGTGAGCGACTGCATGCAGAAAATGGAGGTCACTGTCCGGTGTCTTTCTCTCCATTTTATTTTCTGAGCATAGAGCTCACTGGCTTGCTTAGATTGTCTGTTCAGCAAGCCCCAGGAATCCCCCGACCTTCACCTCCCCAGCACTGCAAATGTAGTCATGTGGGGCTATGAGTAACTTTTTAAAGTGGGTGCTGGGGGCTCTGAACTCAGGCCTCATGCATGCACAGCAAGAAACTTACTACTTGAGTATCTTCCCATCAAGAATACACAGTGGGAAAAATACAGTCTCTTTAACAAATGGAAAAGCTGAATATTTACAATCAAAAGAATGTGGAATATTTACAATCCACATTTGCTGGCGCCTGAGTGGCTTAGGAGACCCTTTCCTGACTGGTTTTTAATGATAAATTTCAGTCTTGTATAATTTTAATTTGAAGTTACCATTATTGGCCACTAGAGAGGAAGAGGTTAAAATAGCAGTTCTCTGTCTTGTTTGAGGGAAGGTAAGGGACAGAGGGAACTACAAAAGAAGGTAAGTAGCTCCACTTTTCTAATTAGACCTCTGGGGAAACAGTCCAGGGTTTGGCAAACTATAGCCCACTGACTACTACTTTTTATAAGTGTAGTTTTCCTGAAACACTGCTATCCTTATGCACTATCTAGAACACAGCTATCCTTATGCACTATCTAGAACACTGCTATCCTTATGTACTATCTAGGACACAGCTATCCTTATGCACTATCTAGAACACAGCTATCCTTATGCACTATCTAGAACACGGCTATCCTTATGCACTATCTAGGACATGGCTATCCTTATGTACTATCTAGAACACAGCTATCCTTATGCACTATCTAGGACACAGCTATCCTTATGCACTATCTAGAACACAGCTATCCTTATGTACTATCTAGAACACAGCTATCCTTATGCACTATCTAGAACATGGCTATCCTTATGTACTATCTAGAACACAGCTATCCTTATGCACTATCTAGAACACAGCTATCCTTATGCACTATCTAGGACACAGCTATCCTTATGCACTATCTAGAACACAGCTATCCTTATGTACTATCTAGAACACAGCTATCCTTATGCACTATCTAGAACATGGCTATCCTTATGTACTATCTAGAACACAGCTATCCTTATGCACTATCTAGAACACAGCTATCCTTATGCACTACCTAGGACACAGCTATCCTTATGCACTATCTAGAACACGGCTATCCTTATGCACTATCTAGAACACAGCTATCCTTATGTACTATCTAGAACACAGCTATCCTTATGCACTATCTAGAACATGGCTATCCTTATGTACTATCTAGAACACAGCTATCCTTATGCACTATCTAGAACACAGCTATCCTTATGCACTACCTAGGACACAGCTATCCTTATGCACTATCTAGAACACGGCTATCCTTATGCACTATCTAGAACACGGCTATCCTTATGCACTATCTAGAACACAGCTATTCTTATGTACTATCTAGAACATGGCTATCCTTATGTACTATCTAGAACACAGCTATCCTTATGCACTATCTAGAACACAGCTATCCTTATGCACTATCTAGGACACAGCTATCCTTATGCACTATCTAGAACACGGCTATCCTTATGCACTATCTAGAACGCTGCTATCCTTATGCACTATCTAGGACACAGCTATCCTTATGTACTATCTAGAACACAGCTATCCTTATGTACTATCTAGGACATGGCTATCCTTATGTACTATCTAGAACACAGCTATCCTTATGCACTATCTAGAACACGGCTATTCTTATGCACTATCTAGAACACAGCTATCCTTATGCACTATCTAGAACATAGCTATTTTTTTTCGTTGTTGTTTTTTTGTTTTTATTTTGGTTTTTCGAGACAGGGTTTCTCTGTGGCTTTGGAGTCTGTCCTGGAACTCACTTGAACACAGCTATTCTTATGCACTATCTAGAACACAGCTATCCTTATGCACTATCTAGAACACAGCTATCCTTATGTACTATCTAGAACACAGCTATCCTTATGCACTATCTAGGACACTGCTATCCTTATGTACTATCTAGGACACGGCTATCCTTATGTACTATCTAGAACACAGCTATCCTTATGCACTATCTAGAACACGGCTATCCTTATGCATTATCTAGGACACTGCTATCCTTATGCACTATCTAGGACATGGCTATCCTTATGTACTATCTAGAACACAGCTATCCTTATGCACTATCTAGGACACGGCTATCCTTATACACTATCTAGGACATGGCTATCCTTATGTACTATCTAGGACACGGCTATCCTTATGCACTATCTAGAACACTGCTATCCTTATGCACTATCTAGAACACAGCTATCCTTATGCACTATCTAGAACACGGCTATCCTTATGCACTATCTAGGATACTGCTATCCTTATGTACTATCTAGGACATGGCTATCCTTATGCACTATCTAGGACATGGCTATCCTTATGCACTATCTAGGACACGGCTATCCTTATACACTATCTAGGACATGGCTATCCTTATGTACTATCTAGGACATGGCTATCCTTATGCACTATCTAGGACATGGCTATCCTTATGTACTATCTAGAACACAGCTATCCTTATGCACTATCTAGAACACAGCTATCCTTATGCACTATCTAGAACACAGCTATCCTTATGCACTATCTAGGACATGGCTATCCTTATGTACTATCTAGAGCAGCTTCTGTCCTTTCATGGCTGAGTTAAAAAGTGTGTCATACATTATACAGATCACAAATATAAAATATTAATAGAAAATGTTTACTGACCTTGAACTCAGGATCTGCTGCTGGAGAATATGACTTAAGAACATAAGGAGAATGGTCACAGACTTACTTTTTATAGTCGATGTTGAGGTTGGCAGTCATGGCAATTCCCTCGGCAATTGCACACGTGCCAGTAGTAACATCAATGATGGTTGCAATGGCACCTCCATGAACATACCTAGTCACAACAGCAGCAGAAGAGAAAGTTTCAGAAGTTCATGATATAGCCTCAAGATATAAACTATTCTAGTGTCTTTTTACATTTACCTCATGTTCAGTGTATTTAATAATGTTAAATAATACTCATATCCTTAACTTCGTTCACAGCATAAAGGATACTTGTAATAAAACTGGAGCTGAGTAGTAATCATATTACAGCATGAAAAAGCTAAAATGTAATTAAGAAACATTATGCTTGTATATATACCTATCCCTTGTTTAAAAGTTTAGAAAATGGGGATGGAGTCACGGCTCAGTAGTAAGGAGCATGTACTCTTGCAGAGCACCCAAATCAGTTCCCAGCACCCATGCTGGGTGGCTCACAACCACTTGCAACTCCAGCTCCAGGAGGACCTGACACTACACACATACACACACAGTTTAAAATAATAATAAAAGTAATCTTTAAAGTTAGGAAGTACATACAAATAGAAGGAAGAAACCTTAAGGCCCTTAATATCAAGTCATGGCCAAACTACTGCAAAAACGTTCATCATACTCTGTTGTTCTATGTCCTATAATAATGTACTATATGCATCATTTAATATTATGTTAAAATTATAAAATTTAACCAATATAGATAATATTCATTAATGTGTTATAGATGTCTTCCTATATTAACAAATATGTATCTATATTGCCAATTTAATGTTGTCTTTGTAGTCCCTGGATATGTTCAGTGTATTTATTGTTAAATCATATTTATGAAGAGAAGCAACTCTCTCAACTCCATGCTGCTAGGATAGTTCTTACCCAGGTACCCCTTGAAGGTGAAGACCTGATTGAAACAAGCAAACCATTCTCTTCTCTGCTTTATTATAGAACATCACATATTCAAAGCCCAGGCCTTCCTCAAAGCTTCTGGTGAACTGTTGGGCCTTAGACATTTGTTCTTCTTTCGCAAACCTGGGATCTGTAAAGAAATAGGGGTATGGGGACAGGAGAGTAAAAGAAAATGCCATGACAGAACTAAGCACCTGTATCCTGACAAAAATCATATGTAGATGGATAACTGATTGAAATGCTAAAGAAAGGAATGGAAAGGTCACAAGAAACAGCACAGTGGCTAGGGATGCAGTTTAATTGCAGAGTACTTGCCCAGCAGGCACAAAGCCCCGGGCTCCCAAGCCCCAGCACCACATAAAACTGTATGTGGTAGTGCATGACTGACTGCCTTGTTGGCACTTGGTAGGTAGAAGCAGAAAGATTAGAAGTTCAAGGCCATTCTTGGCTACATGGTGAGTTTGAGGCCAGTATGGACTACATGAAACCCTGTCTCAAAACAAACTAAAACAAAACAAAACAATACCTGAACAGAATATGACAGAACACAAACTCTCTACAATAGCAAAAACATACATGTAAACATACATAGACAGAGTAAAAAAAAGTGGCTACATACACATGGGAATCAGTGAATATGGAATCTGAATGCTAACAGTAAACTGAGTGAAACAGTCAGGTGCAGAGAGAAATTCTTCTGGCATAAGTCTGGTTTAAGTGGACTTTAGTGAGAGTGAGTAATCCAATAGTAAGGAAATGGTTTTCTTGGAAGATATGAGATAGTTCAGTCCAATAAATCACCATCTTTGGGTTAGAACCATTGTGACTCCTGAAATGAACTTAAGAGTTCAACATTCTGGTCAAGATTATCAAATTGTGAGGTATCTCATAAAAAATGAGAAAAATAAGTACAACAAATTTATTAACAGAATTTGAGCTTCTACCCCCATTTAACTGATGCAGAATCAACAAGATTTCCAGGGGTTTCTCATTTGGTTAAAGCCCAAGGATGGACAGAGCTGAAGGCTGTAGAGGAACAATAAGAGACTGGCATCCTTGGTGGGATGAAGGATTTGACAGAGGTACAAGAGGTGACAAGGCCAACTTTACACTAGAAAATGAACAATGTCCACCAAAATTGGCACGTGGGTCAGTAATGGTTTCCATGTATAGATCATTCCAGCAAAGCTGAGCAGGTAGAAGCCAGGTTGCATCAGGCTAAAGACATTCAATGAATTGTATGATATCAGAGTAATTTTAATAAAAAACACTATTTTATAGGGTTAGGGATCAGATCCAGGGCTCTGTACACACTTGTCAAGTCCTCTAAAAAGTTAATGTTGTGGACTGGGGTGGGAACAGGGTCTCCCTGTGTAGCCCAGGATGGTCTCAAACTCTCATCCTCCTGTCTGAGACATCCTCTACCATACCCAGCATTAAAATTTACTTTCAAGTAATTTAGTAGTTAAAACTTAATAAAGTAACTTACTTCAAAGCTATTTTTCCCTTTTTTGATAAGGTGGAATAAGTCTTGGCTCTAAACTCAAGAATCTAAACAGAAACCTGAAAATGACCAACTATTCTTGGTTAAAGTAATGTGACTTTAGTCTCTTTCTTTCCTTCATCCATGAGAACACTGAGACATGGAAAGCTGAAGTACTTTGCCCAAGCTCACACAGTTTTCTGTGCTGTGTAGAACCAGAATTTCAACCTAAACATGTGTGGAACTAAACGTGGTAGTTAGTAATTTTGTCAATTTGACACAAGCTAAAGTCATTCAGAAACCTTAACTGAGGGACAGCCTTCACCATACTGCCTATAGTCAAGCTTGAGGGACCTGATTAGTGATTGGTTTGGGAGGACCCAGGCTATGTGGGTGGTGATACCCCTTGGTCCTGGGTGGTATAAGAAAACAGGCTGAACAAGCCATCCAGAGTAAGTCAGAAAGTAGCTTTCCTCAGTGGCTTCCAATTCAATTCCTGCTTCCCTTCATGATTGGTTTGTAAGTAGTAAACACAAAATAAATCCTTCCCTCTCCAAGTTGCTTTAAGTCATGGTGTTTACAGCAACAGAAAGCAAGCCAGGACACTAAGTTCCAAAGATTAAATTGAGCAACAGTTAGCTTTTGAGTGGCTCCCAAGACCATAAAATTGAATGGGATTAAAAAGATAAAGAGTATTATGTACTACGAAATGGGTACACCCTGTGGGAGTCTGATGGCAGTGTGTTGCTGTGTTCCTGAGACATTAGGATGAGCAATACAGTTGTGGCAGGTCTGCTTGCTGCTGAGAGATGCAGCAGGGAGCAATGTCACGAGCAGGTCCAGGGAGGGAAACACAGTGCCTGTGTCCTGTGTCCATGGTCAGTTCACTCATGAGGATAGGAGCAGATCAAGCTCAGGTACAGGGAGGAGGGGACAAGAGGTGGTCCGAGCCTGGAAATGCTCTTCTGCTGGCTTCTATTTTCATTTAGCTACACAGGGAGCAAAACCTGCTGAGAGTGAGAATGGGAAAGAATTAGAGGTGTGAGCAGAAAGAAAGGCCGGAAGCAGACATCCAGAAGAGAAGACAGGAGAGTCACTAGACTAGGAAAACAGGAGACAGGCTGTCAGGAAACACTGAGGGCTAATTAGAAGTCATCAAATAGGATAAAACCCTCAGAGAGTTCATTAAAATAGTTACTTAATACAAAGTGTGTTTAAAAATAAGACAAAACAATCAACCCAGAATGATAGGAAGTATAATTTTTGAGTGCTGGGTATGATGTGGAATAATGCTGTTGTGCACTGTAAAGATTTGTCACTTGTATTGGTTTAACAAAATGTTGATTGGCCAGTAACCAGGGAGGAAGTACAGGTGGGGCTATCAGACTAGGAGAATGCTGGGGAGAGGAAAGGCAGAGAGAAGTCGACAGCCAGATGCCACGTGCAAGAGGCCTATGCATCACTGGTAAACCAAGACCACGTGGAGATACACAGATTAATAGAAATGGGTTAATAATTAAGAAGAGCTAGCCAGTAAGAAGCCTGAGCCAGCAGCCAAACAGTTTATGATTAATATAAGCCCCTGTGTGTTTATTTGGGATTGAATGGCTGCAGGGTGGGGAGGTACAGAAACTTCTGGCAATGGTATGAGGTAGGTTGTCTTTGGACTTAAGTCTGAGAGATCAGAGGGTGTGCTGGCTAGTTTTATGTCAACTTGACATAAGCTAGAGTCATCAGAAAGGGAGCCTCTGTAAGGAAATGCCTCTTTAAGATCTGTCTTTAAGGCATTTTCTTAATTAGTGATTGATGGAGAAGGGCCCAGCCCATTGTGGGTGGTGCCGTCCCTGGATTGGTGGTCCTGGGCTCTATAGGAAAGCAGGCTGAGAAAGTCATGGGGAGCAAGTCAGTAAGTAGCACACCTCCATGGCTTCTGCTCCTGCCTCCAAGTTCTAGACCCACTTGTGTCCCTGTTCTGACTTCCTTCAGTGATGGACTACAATGTGGAAGTATAAGGCAAATTAACCTTTTCCTCCCCAACTTGTCACAGCAATAGTAACAGAGGGTAATTACAGAGGGTAATGCAATAATTACAGAGAGTAATTCAAATTTTCTGATCTTCTCAAAGGGAAGGAGCCAGATTTCGAGATAAAGAGAAAAGAGACTGGTGATGTCAGCTTCAAGACGCCAGGTTGGGATCATCTTATTTTTGATACGTTTTGTGTTCTTCCATAATCTACAAAATTTAGTGAGATTTCTGGCTTATAAAACTGGGAACTATAGAACCCCAGTACCGTTTTTTTCTCTCTCTTTCCCCTCTCCCTAATCTTCCCATTTCTTCTTTCCTCTTTCTTCTTCATTCCCTACTTGCTCTGCTTTTCACCACCTCCTTTTCCCTTCCTCTCCACTCTGAAATGGGGTCTTACTATGTAGCTCATGATGGTCATGAACTTGCTATGTGGCCCCAGCTGGCTGTGAGCTCATGGTCTTCCTGCCTCACCCTGCTGAGAGGGACTATATGCATGGAGAACTACCATGTCTTCCTTCTCTTTAAGTCATAATTAGTGCTTCGGTGTGTTACACTTTACATTGATATTCATATATTATTTCCGGGAAAGTGGCTGTTCTTACCAACAAAGCGAGTTTGGAAATCTTTAAAGATTTGAGGATTTTGTCTGTATGAAGGCAAACGTTTCCAGGAGCCATCTTCACATTTCTTCATGAACTGGTCAAAGAGGAGTCTTAGGTCCTTGCTCCAGCTGGGGTTTGGGAGACCATAGTCCTTGTGAATGACTTTCTCAGAAGAAAACAACCTCTAAAAGAGAAAAGAAAGGAAACGAGGACTAGGAGGTACATACTATTTCATATTTTCTACAACTTCCTAAGACTACCATACTGCTTTTCTTACTGCTAGAAGATGATCAGGAACTCCAGAGCTCATTTGTCCTACACCCCTTCATGGAGATGAGAATGACAAAAGGTCAATGATTTGTCCATCTTCTCCCAGATAGTTACTGGCAGAGATAGCATTAAACCCAGGTGAGCCAGTCACCAGACAGAGAGAGATGGACGGGTGAGATACACATGGTGTGGTAGTTTGCATATAATTGGTCCCCATAATCTCATAGTGAATGACACTATCAGGAGGTGTGACTTTGTTGGAATGGGTATGACCTTATTGGAGGTTGTGTGTCACTGTGGGGGTGGGCTTTAAGGTTTCCTATGATCAGGATATCACCAGTGTCTCAGACCATTTTCTGTTGCCTACAAGATGAAGGACTCTCAGCAACTTCACCAGCACCATGTCTTCCTGCACACTGCCATGCATCCCACCAAGATGATACTGGACTGAACCTTAGAACTGTAAATAAGCCATCCCAATTGTCGTCAGATATCCACCCCAACCATACCTGTAGCGCTGTGACTAAACAGGCGTGGTCACAGCTGAGGCCGTGACAGAGGACAGGACTAGATCTGGGGTCACAGACACCAGAACTTGCTCTTGCTGCTGGTTGGGTCATAGGTCCACTTCTGACACCAGATATTGCGTGGGAATCAAGATTCACAAGACCCAGTACAGGTTAAGTGAAGTTTATTCGGGGAGAATGCACTTACACAAGAGGCGGGTGACCGCCACAGTTCCAGCTCCAAGGATCTTCCCAGGCTGTTCCCTGTGACCCAACCAGCCACAAGAGAGAGCTCTGGGATCCTCGACCCCAGATCTAGTCATATCCTCCACCATTTGGGTGTTGTCAGTGCTACAGGTATGGGTGGGTTGGATATCTCACTACATCCAATTAAATGTTTTCCTTTATAAGAGTTGCCATGGTCATGGTGTCTCTTCACAGCAATAGACCCTAACTAGGACACACAGGAAGCTAGAACACAGGGAATGGTAGTATTTGGCTCTTTGGCCTGAATATTGATAAGTAGATATTAGAAAGAGTAGTGAATATAAAAACAAAAAGGAACAAACAACAACAACAACAAAATCAATGTATGTACATGTAAGGAGGCATGAGACAGTTTTGAAGGGTTTTATTATACTCTATGCAATAGGAACTATTATCCCCATTTTACAGATGATGAAATTAAGGTATAAAAGAAGCTAGGCAATATCACAGTGTAAGAGAAGGAGCAGTAAGATATAGAGGTATAGACAAAGCCTCAATGCTAAGCTAACTGGTTTAAATTATATCTGCAGCACTCTCAGATTATTTAAGCAGGGAATAACATACTCAGGTTTGATCATGATAGGAAAGAGAATGGCAATGCCCAAGACTGCAAATGGAGGCCTCTACTTGGAGGCTACTGGAGTAACTCAGTGAGAATTATGAGACCATAAAGTAGAACTCAGAGATGACTTCCACAAAGCAAATGAAGGAATAGGACAAACACTACAACCAATCCCTGGTGTATGAATGGCACCATGGAGTAAATGATAGTTAATTACAAGAACGAATACAAGAGGGACAAGGAGGAGGCTGAGAGAAGGGAGCTGGTGTCATGGTAACTGTGCCTTTCACTCACGGATACTTCTCTGGAGCACTGAGCACTGCCACCATTCCAGTCAATAACTGAAGTGTTGGAGGACTAGGAAGACACAGTGTGATCTATGATGGAGCATAAAGCAGATACTCACAGACAGGAAAGCAGCTGCAAAACTCTCAGAGTAGTTAAGATTATGGAAGGTATCAACTATGGCCTTCTGCATCTAGTCAGCACTAGCAATCCATTGTGACTAATGTATGTATCACTTGGACCGCACCACTGACATCAAAATACCATGCTATACTCACTGATGGAAGAATCAGCCAGCCTAGCCAAAATATCCAGTTTCTAGCTCAATGAAAGACTCTGTCTTAAGGCAAAAATAAGGTGCAGAGTGATAAAGGAGGGCACTTGACAGGTGATTTAAGGTAGCACAAGGACAAAGATAGATGGGTGTTTAAATATTACAAACAACATAATATATAATTACAGAGATAATAAAATCCTTTACATTATATATCTATATAACTTGAAAGACATGAGTAGCATATCACACTTGTTACAACACAAATGTCTTTACTTAGGACGAAGCTATTTAAAGAGGCAATCATGGTTCAGTGGTTAAGAACATGGGTTTTTCTTCCAGGGAATGCAGGTTTAATTTCCAGTACCCACAAGGCCTCACAACATCTGTAACTCCAGTCCCAGGAGAGCCAACAACTTCTTCTGGCCTCTGTAGGCACTGCCACACATATACAGACATACATGAGGCAACACACAGAAATTTTAAAAATATTTTTTTCTTTTTTTTTAATGGAAAGGACCATGTGAAAAAAATCATGAAAGTGATACTTGAGTGTGAAAAATGATGAGTTAAAATGGTGAGGAAAAAGGGAAGGGGCCAAAGACTGTTGAAAGGTCTACGTTAGATGTGGTCCAAGGCTGAACTAGGAATGGAGGAGTAAGAAGAAAAGGGCTAAGTGACATTCAGTAGTAGAACCCAGGGAAATGGGGAATTACTAACTTCAGGAAAGAGAAAGCAAGCACAAGAGTCCTTGATGATTCCAGAGTTGTGGCTTTGATGGCATGGTTACAAGGAAAAGATGTCTGTTCGAGTGAAAGTGTGGATCAGAGAGAACGAGAGCGGAACTACTAATCTTAGTGTGAGGCATGTTGAGTTACGTTACATGGACAATGTGGTGGGAAATAAAAGCAACTCAATTTTCAGTTCAAAGAGGCGAGAACTAAGAGCTACCTGCAGTAAATGCACTTGTAAATTCGCAGTACAGTTGTGAATGAAGGATGAATCCTAGGGGTAATCATTACCCTTTGTTCTTAGAAGAGGAAAGGTCATGCTTGATCTTTAGTTATACATTTATGAGAACTGGAGTTATAGGAGAAGTTATGACTTTTATGCCTCCTTAAAGACAGAAAGCCTGTAAATACTAATGTTCCGTTGTATTCAGCACAGACTGCCAGGCACCAACACGTAATTAAAGAAACGAATCCATATTTGTGGTTGTAAGATTAGCACAATGCATTTCCTTTTCTAGTGGGCAAGATGGTACCTAATTAGTAATGAGTCTACATTCATTATTCTTTTCAAATTGTGTGTCCACCATTGAGCTATACCTCCAGCCCTCACTTACCGTCTACCAGGAAGCTGCAATAGCTTGAGAGAGATGCCACAGTCACCTAATAACCAAAGTTCTCTTTTGGTTCTTGCTCAAAACAGAGCTGTTCCCTGTTGTTCCTTAGTCATTTGTTATAACATAAAGAATACAGGCTTTGAATTTGGCGAACTAACCCCATTCTCCCAAGCTAATTCCTTTGGAGGAAAGTTTCTTTTTCCTTTTCTAACAGTAGTATGTCTTACTTACCATCAATGGGCAATGATGCCTGGAATATTGTTGGAGCTCAACAAGTACAGACTACATCAATGCAACAAAGTAGGGATGCAAATAAGGGCAGAGAATTAGTTAAGACTTACATCCCAGGCATGCTAAACGCTTCCCTTGCATTATCTCATTTAATCTTATCCTCTAAGATGATGATAATGGGTCAGAGAGGGCGTAATTGATCATCTGACAGTTAGAAGCCTCTTCCCAAGTTGGTTATAACGAGTCAGAGACCATCAGGATTAGATACCTGGAAAGATAAGTGCTCTTCTCCAGGGGTCTGTAACGGCTGATTCTTTCTCGGGTTTGCTGGGTGACCTTGTAAACCTTTCTTATTATCTCAGTAGCAGTGGAGGTCCAATCCCTGCTGACCTATTTCAACCTTGAGTTACGTTCCCTTCCGGTTCCTCCCGATTCGAATCTCAAGGCTGAAGAGCCCCTGCTCCCCGTTACAGCCGAGGGTTGGTGGTAGCTTAGCTTCAGCCTGGCTGTCTCCCTGCGCTCACCCGCCGCCGAGTCCCGGGACTCACCCACACCAGTCCGGGTCGCCTCGCAGGCGGAGCCCCAAGAGTGCGCAGGCGCGCAGCGCAGCTTCTCAGCATCGCTCAGGCCAAGGACAGGACGCGGTTATCTCCTCTCACCTAGAAAGAGCCGCATTACCACACACGCCGACACGCCGGCCCGGGACTATGACTGTGGAGGCGGGTGGAGGGCGGAGCCGAGCGCCGCTAGGGATGCTGGCGCCTCCCCGAACCCGGGCGGACCAACCCCTCACCGCCCGCTTTTGGTTCCGGGACAGTTTGCGTCCGGCTTTACAGTCTCGGTAACCGCAGGCACCGACCCCTGCACACGCGCTGCGAGTCAGTTGACATCTTCAGTTCCTTGTCCCCAGGCGGTTAGCTCTTCACCCCGCGAAAGACTCAGAGTTTACAAGAAGTGAATAACCTTTGGGAACCGGTTGACGGTGTTGATATATGGACTTCTGGGTGCACAGCATTTGCCCTTTTAAAATTGTCAGTCCACCAGGCGGCGGTGGTGCACACCTTTAATCACAGCACTCGGGAAGCCAAGGCAGGTGGATCTCTGAGTTCGAGGCCAGCTTATTCTGCAGAGCGAGTTCCAGGATAGCCAGATACATAGAGAATCCCTGTCACAAACAAACAAACAATCAAACAACAAAAAAGTCAGTTTCTTTCAATTGCCTCCTGTGTGTGTGTGTGTGTGTGTGTGTGTGTGTGTGTGTGTCCGTCTGTTCCCGCGTGTCTGTACTGAAAAGGATGTGTATCAACTTTTACTCTAGCAAGATAGAATTACCCTGAACTGGCTAATGGGAACCTCTTGGTTTAAAGAATATGTAATTATCCACTGGTTTGTTGCTCATTTTTGTGCTGCCGATTACTAGACAAACAGAATAATCTCACAAAGGAACACAGAAATAAGGGATGCGCCACCAACACCCAGCGATTTGCTAGTTTTAAAATAATAATCACAACGAAAATGGAAGGGGTTGGTTACTTAAGACTTTAGCCGATTAAGTTCAGAGAAGGCTGTAGTCTTTTTATGTGAACAAAATTTTTATCCAATTGGGAGTATTCTAACATTTGGATAATGGTGGCGCAAGCCTTTAATTTCAGCACTTGGGAGGCAGAAGCAGGAGGATCTCTATGAGTTCTAGGCCAACCTGGTCTACAGAGTAAGTTCAGCCCAGCCAAGACTCCAGCACCACATCTACCTGTATGCTGCCATGCTTCCTGTCATGATGATAATGGACTCAATTTCTGAAACTGTAAATGAGACAACTCAATTTAATGTTTTCCTTTGAAGAGTTGTTGTGGTCAATAAGACAATACCCAAAGCTCTGAGGAAATCATCAGAAATTATAAACTTAAGAACAAAACAAAGCATCAGGTCTTGCCCTGAAAGCTAATACATTTTGAAAATGTCACTAAGGGCAGAACATTAACTGTCAGAAAGCCTTGCTGCTTCAGACATAAGAATTAGGTTTGAATTTTATACTGATGCATCAGATTTTTCACTAAAGAAAAAAATCCCCTAGATAAATTTACATTTTAAAATATCTTATGCTGTTTTTAAAAATAATATTGATGAGCCGGGCATTGGTGGTACACGCCTGTAATCCCAGCACTCAGCAGGCTCTCTGTGAGTTCGAGGCCAGCCTGGTCTACAGAGTGAGTTCCAGGACAGCCTCCAAAACAATACAGAGAAACCCTGTCTCAAAAAACATATAAAACAAAACAAAACAAAACAAAAATTGATGACCATGAAAGTTTTCAGATTTGGAGTTCAATGGGTGTTGTGGTCCTACGGGCTCCCTCGGGGGAGGGGTGAGAAGGTGCAAGATCAACTACAGCACAGACCTCGGGAGTCAGATGAAAGGACAACGGCCGACTCCTTATTTAGCAATGAATACAAACTTATTATATACTCTCCCAGCAACCAGGCGTTCTGATCCCTTGACGTTGTGTAGTCGCCCCTCATTGCCTGGGCAGGGTCAGGCCCTCTGACAGCAACTGTCAAACTCGTTTGGCTCATCTCTCAGCCCAGTAGGCCATAACTTCCTACAAATGGGGGCATGGGATTGTCATTATCAGTAAGAGATTTATTATGAGAATTACTAACATTATAGATAGACAGAAAGGTGCAGCTCAGAAGGGGCTCTGTTGAGAGCTCAGGCCTTGGGAACAGAGTGGGATCCTTTCCTATCAGGTCTCAGCAGAAGTTGAAAGTTTCCTGACAGAGAAGTGAGTTAGCCCACAGCAGGGGTCTTCATGGTGGGGAGTGAATGTGCCACTCTGAGGATGTAGGCAGTGAGGAAGAGCTTCACACCTAGTTGAGTTGTATAATATATTGGCAGCCCTCTGATGTCCTGGAGTCTGTGGCCTGAGTCTGTAAATTGCCTTGGGGAAATGAGAATGGTGTGTGCCATTGTCCTGGAATTCAGGCACCTGGCAAGTCTGTTAAAAGGGACAGAAATTCACACACAGGTTCTCTGTAGCAGGATTGACATTTCCTTTACAGGGGCTATAAGAGAGAGTGATGGAAAGTGGGTGCGGCTGAATTAGCTCCCAGTTCAAAACCAAACATATCATAAACAGATTTACTACCTAGTGTATAAGTACCTAGGTACTACCTAGTGTATATCACATATGTGATAGCCCCATCTAACTAGAGCTATGAAGCTGTTAAAGGGCTTTAGCCTAAACATAAATGTTAAAAGCCACACACAATTAAGAACCACAGGAATTAAATTCCTGTCTTTTAAATTTAGCTATTTCCTATTTTACTAAAAGTAAATCAACTGTTGTTTTGTTTTAGACTTGGTCTCACTATGTAATTTTAATTGGCCTGAACTATGTTGAATAGAATTGGTTTCCTTGAACTCACAGAGATCTGCCTGCCTCTGCTTGCCAGGTACTGGGATTAAGGACTATACCACCACACCTGGTATAATCATCATTTTAAAGAAAGAGTAATTGCTGTGAATATAAAGCACTAATATACCCATCAACCTTTATAAATAACATTTTGGCTATGATTAACATAACTGCTTATAAATATTTCTCATCAGGTTTACATTTTAAGCAATTTTATTAGTATGTGCTACATATATAATAATGTATTTTCAAGGGAATTTTCATACATGAATATAACACATTTCAATCATATTTACTACCTTACCTTCCATCTCTCCTCTCTTCTAGCTAACCTCTTCTCTTCTCAACCTGCCCTTTCTAATTTAATATCTTTTTAGATTTTAAGCATATTTTACTAATTTTTGATAATTTTATACAAGCAAACCATGTATTTGATCATATGCACCACATTCTTCTATTTTAAAAAAGCTTATGGAGTCTAATTTGTGCTGTCCATTGACTTGTGGGTATGGGGCCAACCACAGAAGCATAGCTGACCTCCAAGGACCATAACTCTAAAGAAAAGAGGCTCTCTTTCCTCTAGCTTGTATCATGTGGCAACTATGAAGGAACACTAACAACTATGATAACACTTATACACATATCTATACTCCAGACAAATTATGAATGCCATTAATAGATATACTCATTATATATTCATTAAAATATCTGAAATATTGAAAAAATGAACAAGAAGTTAGCAACATTTCATCATGTTGTCTCTGCCAAGAGTTATATAGAATTATGTTGCATATAGTACAAGAACATTTTCTGTTGCAAATAAAAAGATGGAGTTTAATGATCCTATGAAAAGAGACACTGGCCGGGCCTTGGTGGCGCATGCCTTTAATCCCAGCACTCTGGAGGCAGAAGCAGGTGGATTTCTGTGAGTTCATGGCCAGCCTGGTCTACAGAGTGAGTTCCAGAACAGCCTTCAAAACAATACAGAGAAACCCTGTCTCGAAAAATTAAAAAAAGAAAGAAAGAAAGACAGAGAGAAAGAAAAGAGACCCTGAATATAACATTGCATTTTTGTGGCTAGAACCAGATTTATCTTAATGATTTTACAGTGTACATAGATACAAAATTAAATACAAAAGCCAATCAAATAACATTATTTATATCAAAATGTGCTACATATTAGTAACTATGCCAATAGAGAAGTAGTCCATCTCAACATTGACAAAATCTTTTCACATTTCATATGGTCAAGAGCCCAGAAGTCAAGTAACATTATCTCTACATATGGACCAATCCTAAAACTAACATTTTAAGTTAATTTGTCTAGCAAAAATTTTTATAATTTTTCTGAGCATTTAACAAAAGCATTAACAATTTGATAATTAATGATGTTTCAGAATATTTGTTTACACTGTAAAGATGTGTCTCTGCCAAAGGCACCTTCTGCTTGGTTTAAAAAAGAGCTAAATGGCTAATAGCTAGGCAGGTGAGAATAGGCAGAACTTCTGGGCAGAAAGAGAGAAATTGGGAGGAGGAATCTAGGTGTGTAGATTACACCAGAGGGATGCCAGGAGACTATGAAGAAGTTGGACATACAGTATAGAGCAGAGATAACCCAGCCAAGAGGCAGAACACAGATTAATAGAAACAGGTTAATTTGAGTTATAAGAGCTAGTTGGGGACAAGCCTAAGCTAAAGTCAAGCTTTCATAATTAATAGTAAGTCTCTGTGTTGCTATTTGGTAGCTGGTGATCTAAATATAGTCTGACAAGAAAGCTTGCTGCCAAACACAGCATGTAAATCCACATAGGGCTTGAGAAAGCTGAAAAAAACTCCCAAGTAATCTGAGTCCTTGTGGCACGTAGAGGCATGGTTCTTTAAATTGACTTAAATTGGGTTTATGAGTGTGGGGGAAGTGGTCAGCATGCGACTCAGTGGCAGGAGACTAGGTAGAAATGTCTACTGGAGCTTGGGTGGATAGACTGGCTCCAGGCTGGGCCCACAGGCATGAGGTTCCTCTTTAACCTACCTGAAGGAGGTGGAGTAAGATGCCAGGCCGTGTGGCTAAGAAGAGCCACACAGAGGAGAGCCTAGAAACCACTTAGCACTTTAAGGTTTGGCTCACGTGGTCAAAGAAAGCTGTGGATGAGCAAGAAATCAGGCCCAGACTGAGAAAACATCTAAACAGATATACTATACTTAAAAATGTGATTAGATACTAAAGAAAGAAAAGAAAAATGGGTATATATGGTCATAGAAAAATAGCATAAAAATAATGAATTCTTGCTGGGAGGTGGTAGCACACACCTTTAGTCCCAGCACTTGGGAGTCAGAGGCAGGTGGATCTCTGTGTGTTGGAGACCAGCCTCGTTTCCAAGAGCTAATACCAGAACAGACTCCAAAGCCACAGAGAAAC